CTGTCTTCTGCAGAGCTGAACGATTTCCATGTAATCAGGCAGTGATTCACGCCTGTCCCGATCGCCCCTGTCATCAGAACCACACTATCCACCTGAAGGACGTTCTGACCTCCGAGACAGTGCGATTGGATGTAGAGATCGTCTGTGAATGCGACTGCGAGCGACCCGAGCTCGTGCAGACCAACAGCCCCAAGTGCAGCGGCGTGGGCGCACTGCAGTGCGGCGTCTGCGACTGCCCCGATGGAAGGTGAGGTGATGGGCACTGCGACGCACTAGCGGGGTATTTCATTCCTGCTGCTCTAACTCGAACGCAACATTTTTGTACCCAACGAACACACCTGACTCTAAATCAAGAACTGCTTGTCTGTTGTCCGTTGACCATAACTCTCCTCTACAAAAGTATTGGATTGGGTCTTGAGACCCTTCAGCTAACCCTTAAGGTTCGGTTACTGGCTGTGGGTCGCCGCTGACGACCAGTGTGGGGTCTCTCAATACGCCCTGAATGTCTGCGACCCCGCAGGGCCGGCTGGAGCTGCGAGTGCTCCGAGACTCTGAGCGGACAGTCGTGCCTGCCTGACAACTCGACCAGCGGACCCGAGTGTTCCGGACGCGGCGAGTGCGTCTGCGGCAAGTGCGAGTGCCACGCGGGCAGCACGTTCAACATCACGGGCCAGTTCTGCCAGTGCGACAGCAGACTATGCGACAGGTTGGTATCAGAGGGTTAATGCTGGAAGACAGAGAACTAGTTCGTGAGATGATGTTTTTTCGTACTCCAGCGTAGATGGGTAGCCATACGGCTTCCACAGAGAACTAGTTCAGAAGCCTGCCCTACTTCGTTTTTATAAATTGCAACAAATAACTGAATCAGACTCTCAATTTTCAAAGTCAACAGATACTTATGCTCTCGTCTAGCCGAGTTTACGAAAAAAATAACGCGTCCGAATATGGGAGCGTTAAGGTAACATGATTGCGAAGTCCTAAACAGGGTCAATCTGATCTTTGACCTCAGGGCTCCGAACGGCCTCATCTGCGGCGGCGAGCAGCACGGTCGGTGCGAGTGCAACCAGTGCGTCTGCCGCCCCGGCTGGACGGGAGACGACTGCTACTGCAGCAACGACACGCGCAACTGTGTGCCGCCCGGCTCCAGCACCGACCTCGTGTGCAACGGCAAGGGCGACTGCGTGTGCGGCCGCTGTCACTGTGTCAGCACTGACGAGGGCAGGTAACGGGGGACGGGGACAGGCAACGAGAGACGGAAACATGTGACGAGGGATGAAGGCAGGTAAAGATGGACGAAGGCAAGCAACGAGAGATGAGGGTGGGTTCTGGACAGCGTATGCTGGTCACATGTTGCAAAGCAGCGCCCTCAGCAGCCTGCATGCGCACGGTTGAGTCGACCCATCCAGCTCACCGTATTCAGACCGGTTTGCAGTCAGACACACTCAGCGCCGGCTGCTGCGGACCAGTCTCCTCCGTGTGTTCGCTCAGCATCTCGCCCTGTCCTCACCGCTCAGGTACGCCGGCCTGTTCTGCGAGGACTGTCCGACGTGCCGTGGTCTGTGCCGCACCTATCAGCCGTGCGTCGAATGTCGGCTGCACACCAAGGCCGGCACTGGCCACAACTGCTCCAGCTGCCCCGAGACCGACACGCACGAGATCACCCTCACGGACCGGCTGGGTAAGAGAGCCAGGCCGAAGCTGATCTGTAAGGAGTTGGCTGTATGTTTATTTATTTATCTATTCATTTTTATTTATTTATTTATTGAAATAAACATCCACGGGTATGGCACCCAATAACGGATGTATCACAAACATAAAACTTAAACAAATGTTATGCAAACATAGTAAAAAACAAGACGAACTAAAAACTTCTTCTTTTCAAACTTACTGTTTTTCTTTTCTCTATCCTGTCTGTCTGTCTGACTCTCTCTCTCTCTCTCTCTCTCTCTCTCTCTCTCTCTCTCTCTCTCTCTCTCTCTCTCTCTCTCTCTCTCTCTCGCTCTCGCTCTCGCTCTCGCTCTCGCTCTCGCTCTCGCTCTCTCTCTCTCTCTCTCTCTCTCTCTCTCTCTCTCTCTCTCTCTCTCTCTCTCTCTCTCTCTCTCTCTCTCTCTCTCTCTCTCTCTCTCTCTCTCTCTCTCTCTCTCTCTCTCTCTCTCTCCTTATCAGTTACCTCCTTCGTGGACGGTGGATGTAATCTACTTTTCAATCTTTTGAGGAGAATCGTGATTGCACGTTATTGGCCGTCGTAAGTGCTTTTAAAAACTTTGGTAATAAAACTACATGATGATATTAGCTTCCATCAAGCCTCTGCCGAGCACAATAACTGAAAATTAACTTTTGCTTGTCCAATACCTGTCTAGTGTCTAAGGGCGGGCTGCCGTTCTGTCAGCACGTCGTCCGTCGAGCACAGGCGAGACGTTGAAACAGTTGGCGACACATCCCTCGTTTTGTGCTAGCTATTGCAGATCTCAAACCACTATATAATCGCCTCCATATGTCATCCGCGCGTGGTTGTCCATGAGCGCGTGTGTGACGTGCTAGCTCAGTCAAAGCCGCCCCATAGTAGCGCTGCGGCACACCGGAACGTACTCCATAGTAACCACACCTGCCCCGTCGAACCCACGCCTGCTCCGTCGTGGATCGATCACCGACGCATCGGCTCAGCTCGACAGCGGGAGCGGCAAAAGCCTCTCGCCGGTTCATGGAAGTGCAATCGTACCGCATTATCTAAGTTGCAAAGCGTCTTTAACTTTTCCGGCCACTTATCTGTGGCCTGGGCTGGGCACCATGCATACTCGTAGGTCAGACGCAGGGCTCTAAAGAGATTGGTTTGATTTTAAGGCTTTGTTCGCCAGTCTAATAAGCATAGGGGCCTGCGGATAAGTAAATGTTAGGCCCTTTCGCCTGGAGAGGTGTTTAGAATCATCGAATGAAGATGGCGTTTTTGTTTTCTTTCGTACTTTGAGAAGCGATCGAAGAGGAACGGTGGCGAAGTTTGAGGACGAATTCAGTCCATTGAACGGGAACGAGGACTTTATGGCTATTCTACCAGATATGTACTAAATTTGATCAGAAGGTGACGTCATGTTTATCTTGTTTCAGCTTCGCCTGAAGATGGCACCATGTGCCGATTCCAGGATGCACTGGATGGATGCTTCTACCAGTTCCAATACTACTCGGACGAACGTGGTATCACCGTTATCAACGTTATTAAATCCAAGGTACAAACGGGATTATTTTTATGCAACCGCCTTCAGAACAGGCGTTAGTCAGTAACAGTTGGGTATGATCTCAATTTCTCAAAAGCACCTCATTTATTATTGCAATGACTTAAAGTACAAATTGAAGCTGATAGTTTACATGATTTTACAGAGGATAAAAATAAGAAAAGGCTTAGCAACAAAACATCGTAACTATGCATACTTACGTAAGATTTTTGCGCTTAGGACGCTCCACAGCCTCTCTAATTCTAGTCTGTAATTCGGATGAGTGGCTCGGTGCCTGTGGCTGGTTCGCTCCATGTGTCCAGTCGGCCGTAACTCGGCCAGCCCGGCCCACTCCATGTTCTTCCCGTAACTGTCCGAACCTGCTCCCCAGGAGTGCTACGAGGTGGATGTGCTGGCTATCGTGCTCAGCACGGTCGGATCGGTGGTGGCCATCGGCGTCATCACACTGCTGCTGTGGCGCCTCTACACCTACCTAGCCGACCGGCGCGAGTACGCCAAGTTCGAGCTCGAGGTCAAGGCGATGAACGAGGCTGACTCGGGCATGGAAAATGAGCTCTACCGTAACCCGGTCACCAGGTACAGGGTGCCCGAGGGCGTGATGGCCAAACTGGAGGAGGAGGATTGAGGCCTCCGACACAGATTGTGGCGCGGCCAGTAGTGAGGCGAGGAGCGGCGACAGGCGGCTGGTGACGACTGGTGTGCCGTGACTGTACTTGGACCCACAGTGTTAGAGACACTCAGTATTTAACAACTGAACAGGGAGATGAAGACCAGAATGACAACTCGCAGGGAAAAAAGAAACGGAAGCTAACGAACTGGAGCTAGAAGAGATAGCTGACTGTGAATGAAAAGATTGGCATGTGTGGCTCAAATGAATGATTATGTAGACCAAAATACATGCAAAGATAATCGACTTGGTCCATCTTGGCGGTCATTTTGTAGAAGTTGGGAAACACGGACTTGTAGTGCCTTATCTCTTCATGGATTTGTAGTGTCTTACCATGTCCGTCTATTCGTATGATGCTATGTGGCGTCGAGCTACGACACTTTGTTGTTAAATGCAGTTTGTTTGCTGAACTTTCCATTATGTTGCTGCTTAGATACATAAACATCTTTGTCGCAATCTCGTCGCTTGCTAACTAGTAGTTCTTTCTGACAATACAGCGCTGCTTTTACCATACAAAATATGCGTTTTACTTTGGCAACAGTTGTTAACGCATTTTTAGACTTAATCGCATGATATCACTTCACATTGTATAGCTGGCCAATAGTTCAATAGCTTTATCATTTGTCCAGGCTTTCAAGACACGCAATTATACTCGTCAAAGCGCTGGAAGGCTGCAGGCCATCTGCACTCCGGCTCCGACTAAATCCTATCCCAGCAACACCAGAGTTTCTAAGTGACCCCTTGCGACTTCCATTTCATGGTTCGTTTTCTATCCCCTACAGAAGCTGTTATTTGTTGCGATTACTAAGGGAATACAGCATGAAGCATTTTATATAATTTGAAAAATTCAAACATTTTCTTTCAAAATTAACCGGGCTATGACTAGAACTATACTTCATGCTTGTTTTTTTTTTGTCACGCTCTTTACACTTGATGGGTGAATGGAACATCAACAGGAAGTTCAAAAGTCTTTATTAAACAGGTCTAAACAAATGGTTAAACAAAACAGATGGCCAAAGGCACTAATGTAGCGCCATGATCACCGGGAGCAGTGTCCACAGGCATGTACGTATCAATTACTAAACAGTGCACACTGCACAGCACTCATTAAACAAGTCTCCAAATACCCAGCGACGATAATTGCATTTATGACTTTCGCAGATATTCATCGAGACACTTTAATCTCAATAGCAGCCTAGCATGCATACAATGTCATTGAACTTATTCACATTTCATCCACGCATTTATAATGAAGCTTCACTAGTAACACCACTAATTAGATAAACGTGGTGCCGTTCATAAAACACGCATTTTGCATACCATCGTCACCCCAAATGTTCTCGATTTCTGCCGTGTACAAGCTAAGCCGTTGAATGCTCACTAGGCAAGGTCCCGCGGTTGGGAAGAACACATATCGCATCAAAATAATCACATAAAAACAGTAAACGGGTGGGCCGTTCCATTGCGGAGGCATGAACAGTGAACATCATTCTGGGCCATGTGAGCCATTAGAATAATTCGAACACAGTAAAACGTCTGCATTTTGATGCTGCCATGGCCCATGAGACAAAAAACTTTAAGAAAAAGTGACGAACATTATCATACTAGGTTATTCAATTCTATGTTTCACGTCACGAAGACGACATTCGTTATTGACGCCCATATTGGTCCCGCTTATTCATGATAAACTATTCATAAATTTCCTTATACAGCATACAGTACAAAGAGGTCAATTGGATACCAACTTTTCGGTATACCGATGCATGCCAATCCGATACCAACTTGGTAATTGGTACCTACTTCAATCCTGTTTTTGATATTTTGTTGGTAGGTATCATGAAGCTTTGCTAACGTATAAGAGGCTGTGAATTTGGTAAAAAGTTGGTATTTCCTTGGTATTCCCAAGTTGGTTCGGTTTCGGTATATTTCCGTGGTTTTGGTTAATATTTGGTTTGGTATTGGTATCCTCATTTTTGTAATAGGTCATCACTAATACAGTACCTCTTCTACATAATGGTCAGCATTTCTATTAGAGACATCTAAGGAAAAAACTAAAACATATTCATAACACTGCCCAAAACAATAAATCGAGCATCTAAATCAACTACCTATTGATAAATACAGCCCCTTCGGTTAGTAATTCCATTGATATCTTAACATCAACTCAACCATTCTCAGCGCGGTTCATCGCCGCCAGACGCCACTCACAGATCCACCTAGAGTTTGGTGGATTCGACACGGGCTCCGTCCTCACTTTGAACGATTGTAGTGAGTGTTGCCGTGCTAGTGCCCGTGGGAAGCGTCTCCTCTACCGCTGCTCCTGTCGAAGGAATAAACTCAAATCGGCAGATAAAAAATACACATAAGTACAATATGTATACGGCTAAATAGTGAACGAATGAGAAATAATCAGATAAGTAAAACAATAATTAAAGTCTTTGTCAGTAATGTCAATGGCATTACACCCCAGGTAAATTACTTCAGCACTGTTAGTTCGTCAAAAAGTTGCACTCATTTTGTTGGAATCCTGGCTAAATAATACCAGTATAACGCCTTTTGGGGCGACTAACGGAGCGAGCGAGAGGGTGAGCCTTGCACGTGCGAAATTTCGAGGGGGTACCTCCAGCTGACTTGTGCACGGCACCCTACTAACCGGTCTCTAGCGATGTGCCAAATTTGAGCATAATCGGCCCAGCCGTTCTCGAGATCTGGAAGCGGCACACTGCACGTGCGCACGTGCAAAATGGGTCCCAACTGACTTTTGCACGGCACCCTACTAACCGGTCCCTAGCCATGTGCCAAATTTGAGCGCCATCGGTCCAGCCGTTCTCGAGATCTGGAATCGACCCCTGCACGTGCGCACGTGCAGCAGCACCCCAACTCCGGCACATGGATATGCATTGCCTAGTGGGTGCCTACCTTCATGCCAACTTTCAGCGCAATCGGCCAAGTAGTTACCGAGATATTGCAACAATTACAAAAGTGACACCTCTTCGTTTTGCACGTGGCACGCGCATAAGGGGTCACCCACATGCATCGAGGATAGTCCAATACTTGGTAGAAGGAATGAAGCTACCGTACACAAATTACCGCATGTAAATCGGTCAAGTGGTTGCTGAGATATAAGCGTCGCAGAATCGTGACCACGGCCGGCCGGCCGGCCGGCCGCTCATACTCAGAAATTTCCGTTATTCTACGTAAGACTCCGCTCGCTTCGCTCGCTCCGTAACCAAAATGCATATTCAATACCCACTGTGGATTCTGTGCTTTACATGGCTAATGAAAGCACTCATTAACTGTTCCGATTGGGACTCCCGACTGACCTTCGGCCTTCTCGCGGCGTTTGATGTGTCCGTGCAGGCAGCAGTAGTAGACGACCGCGTAGAGGATGCCGGCAACGCCGCTGGCAACTCCGATGACGCGGTAGGTGAACTCCATGCCGTAGGAAGCCATCAGATAGCCGCCCACGAAGCTGCCCAGACCATGGCCTGCCGCACGGATAGACCACATGTTACTGAGTGATTAGTTACCTACTCTACTCCACAAAGCCATGAATAGCTCGGTAGCTAAGTTTTCAGTATTTAAATAGCTTGAAACTATCGCTTGAAAATCATAGCACATACATAGATGGGCGATGCTCATATATGCAGCGTACGTACATTAGGCCGCAGGACCTTGGGGCAGTGTTAGGTTGTTCCGGCGAACGGCGTTCCGTCGTGCCGGACCATGACGAGACCGGTGACCGGTGTCAGGTCGCGCCAGTTCGAGCCAATGAAATACAATTGCAAGATGGTGGAGAAATTATGCAAACAGAGCTAGCTCATGGAGGCAACGCCGTTGCTAATTCTTTCCGGGAGCGGAAACCTATATGGCAACATCGAAGGCGCCTCACAGATAGAATGCTTTGATGAGAAGTCTCAGTACCAAATACTAAGCCTCCAGTGTACAAGAATGAAGAAACGCCAATTCTAGACAATCTTGCATGCCCCGTAGCCGTGCTGAATCTTGTGTTCACACGGAGGGGATTTGGAACATCGGGCAACGCCCAAAGCTTTTTGGACCTGAGTGTTCTAGCCTCCGCATCGAAAGACGCTAGAGGTTATAGAGAAAGCTTGAGACTATCCTTTTCCCATGATCGGCTTAGCATTTTCTCTTATGGAATACGTGTGAGGCTCGTTCGAAAAAGATGAATTTCGCATGGGAATCCAATGGTAGATAGTATTTTTAGCACCGATTTGGTCTAGTGCTACCAACTTTTACTGGCTTCCCCTGGTTAGAACGTTCCATGGCAACTCAAGAACGCTGCCGGCCCTTATAGAGTAAGCAGTGCTTTGAGCTGCCTATCGCCACCGCATCGTTTAGACAAATTACCGTGGCTCACGGCTGAGCTGAAAGGATCATCCTTTTAACAGTTTTAAGCATCAGAAAACAGCATTAGCGATATTTTCGATATGTTACCATTACCAACACTCCTTTACTAGTACTAACCTCATATATGTGAGTCTCACCGGCATTGTAGTGGAGCATCCCCGAGAGTCCGGTCATCGTGGCGAGCAGGCCGGGAGGCGCCAGCTGCGCCGTGTAGGTGGCAGCGCTGTTCCACATCAGGTGCACAGTGACCACCTCCAGCAGCTCGAACGGAAAACACAGCCAGGGCACCCTGTATAAAAAAAACAAAACGAAAAATCGGTAGGGAATCGAATGACGGTGCATGGCTACAGGGGCAAAACTGTCTGAACAGGTCGACCGTTAATCGTACGGTAATCATAAATCACAGGTCACGAATGCTGAAGTGACGTCTGTGATTAAACAATGGATTGTGCCTTGAAAGCGGTAAATATGGGCTAACTAATCCAGCATGTTTGGTATAATATAGGTGCACATTTTTAGAATGAAGTCAAGGCTATAGAACTCCATGCAGTCTTAAACACGCCTTCGTCCTCACTTGATGAGCGAGTAGCCGACGTAGCGGACCGCGTAGCCGAAGAAGGCCATGATGAGCACGTTGACGTGCCCGATCTTCCTGGTGATGGCGTCAGACCACCAGTTGAACGGCATCGAGGCCAGGCCGGCCACAGTCATCGTCAGGCCTGCGGGTAGGCTGGGGTCTGAACGACGGGCAACGCCACACCGCTTTTGCCACTCGACTGTTAACCCGGCCGGGCCCGGGGGTAATCCCAACCACCGCAGCCCGAGGGGCGTTTTTCGCCCCCCCCCCCCTGTCTAAATCCGTAAATAAGGGAGCTACGCAAACACAAGTGATGCGAAACGAAAGGTCCTTATGAGACGATTCTAAAGCACCCAAATTTTTTACCTCAGGTCAGAGATCAAGGTCAAAGGCAAAAACCGGCACATGTGTAGGGATCTCAAAATAAGCGTTCTAGAGGACGGCAGGATGCATAGAACCGGCAAAATTGTGTGTCAAACGAAAGAAAAGAATCTGAGGATTCCAAAAATGTGTTCAATATCAAAGATCAAGGCCAAGGTCATGCTGAAAATTGACCTCAAACTTTGCACTTTTTCGTACATCTTGCGTGCTAACTTCCAAGACGTTTTGAAATGTTTTGAGGCTTATCAGGTCCCTATTTGTGGTTTCATCTTACAATACAAGGCTGCTCTAAGGTCAAGGTCACAGAAAAGTAGTCCTTGCTAGAGGCTATTTCACTGATTTAAACAGCTTGGGGTCGTTGATCTGACCTCTGACCTCAGGTCACCAAAACTATTTTTCCATTTTTCTCTAGATCAAACGTTACACAACCGTGCTCGTAATTTGTCTTTATCTCTGAAACTATTTTCAGCAGCCATTTGAAGTTCGCGTCTGTGACGCCGAAGTTTGCCGTGCAGGATACTAGAAAAATCAACCTTGTGACGTCATCAATGGGGCTAGGTCTAAATTTTTTACATCAAAAGATGTCAAATTGATGGGAGAAAAGGTACTGAAAGTTTCGCTTTCCTATCCCTAAGCTTTCGAGAGCTATCGCAAATATTCGCCAGGGGGGACGAAAAACGCCCCCCCCCCCGGGCCCGCCAGGGTTAACCCGGCCGGGCCCGGGGGGTAATCCCAACCACCGCAGCCCGGGGGGGGGCGTTTTTCGCCCCCCTGTCTAACTCCGTAAATAAGGGAGCTACGGAAACAAAAGCGATACCAAACGAAAGGTCCTTACGAGACGATTCTAAAGCACCTAAAATTTTTGACCTCAGGTCAATTTTCAAGGTCAGAGGTCAAGGTCAAAGGCAAAAACCGGCACATGTGTAGTGATCTCAAAGTAAGCCTTCTAGAGGACGGCAGGCGGCATCAAACCGACAAAATTGGGTGTCAAACGAAAGAAGAGAATCTGAGGATTCCGAAAATGTGCTCAAAATCAAAGGTCAAGGTCAAGGTCACGCTCAAAATTGATCTCAAACTTGGCACTTTTTCGCACATCTTGTGTGCTAACTTTCAAGATGTTTAAAAATGTTTTGAGGCTTATCAGTTCCCTATTTGTGGTTCCTCTTACGATACAAGGCTGCTCAAAGGTCAAGGTCACTGAAGAGTATCCCTGCTAGAGGCTATTTCACTAATTCAAGTCAGTAATAATAAATAAGACAATTTTGCCATCCGGAAGCTCTAAATGAAGGCTTAGAGGAAAATAGATGCCAGATTCGTGATCAACGGGTACAAATCCATCATAAACGACCTTTCATGTGTCAAGGTCAACCAGAGGTCATTCGAGGTCACATGAGGTCAACATAAAACTTGACCTTTTCCGAACAAAATATATATCATTCGACGCGGCTTGACAAGGCGAATGCGATGGTACCACTGCCGTAGCTCTAGGACCATTTTTGTCGAAGTTATTTTCGAAAAACTAAAACCACATTTCGGGGTCGTTGACCTGACCCCTGACCTCAGGTCACCAAAACTATTTTTCTCTAGGTCAAACGCTACACAACCGTGCTCGTAATTTGTCTTTATCTCTAAAACTCTATTTTTAGCAGCTATTTAAAGTTTGCGTCTGTGACGCCGAAGTTTGCCGTGCAGGGGTCTAGAAAAATGAACCTTGTGACGTCATCAAGGGGGCTAGGTCCAATTTTTTTACTTCAGAAGATGTCAAATTGATAGGAGAAAAGGTACTGAAAGTTTCGTTTTCCTATCCCTAAGCGTTCGGGAGCTATCCCAAATATTCGCCAGGGAGGGCGAAAAACGCCCCCCCCCCCGGGCCCGCGAGGGTTAACTGGTGAGGTGCACAGCTAATCGCACCGACTGTCCCTCGAGGGGAACAACAGTTCAGGCATATGTTTTGACTCATATAATCATACAGGAATATAACTCATATCCTTACAGAAAATAGAAATATAAGTTATGTTCGTACAAAAAAGTGAAGTGGTTTGGTGTCTGGTGATAAAATAAAATAAATCGTGCTCGTGCAAAATAATATCTCATAAATTCTTGTATGAACGGACAGAAATAGCACTGAAAATATCTTACCAAGCATATAGGTTGGTGCGTTGAGCTCCTTGAGGAAAATGAAAAGAAAACTTTCCAAAAATCCCCACATGACGCCCAGAAATAAGACGACAAACAGAAAAACCACCGTTTCAGGGCGTTTGAAAATCTGAAAACAGAAAAAAACGCTGAAATTGAAACTAATACTTCATTGCAATCTACAGGCCGAGTTTTTAAACATAGGGTAAGGGCGGGTAAGAGTACGCGGGCGATAAGAGTACGCATCAGCTGTTTCGGTTGCTTAGCAACGCGGGTTTGTCGAGTTCATAAAGTGACATGAAGCCGCCAGTGCGTGCATGTCACCAACGGAACGTGGGCGTTGAGCGGCGACGCTGTTGAGTTTAAGGCGATGAATATTATTTTCGAGCGTTATGATATTATTATGATATGGTACAATAATTTTGATACTTGGCAATTGAGATAAGGTACATTTCCGTGATTGTTGTGGGAAACTTGTGAGGTTATCTGGGGAACTACCGTACAGTGCAATATTCTGTTTGCGAAGTTTTGCACAACATTTCGGGGTTGTTTTGTGCGCGAATTGCATGTACGGTAAAAGGACGCACTGTTCAGGAGGGTAAGAGTACGCAGAATTATACATTAAATCGAATATACAGAAATATAGAATTATTAATCTATCGCTCAATGACGTTTGTTTAGTAGGTATATCATCAATGGAGCACTGTGATGCAGATGCGTACCCGGAATTCTTCCAAATACGAGTTATTCTCCTTTTTGATTGTGCATTTTTTTTTAAGAAACACACGACATGATTATTTCCTGATTTATAGACTTGAAAGATTTATTTTATGTTTTTCTTTTTTGGATACTAGAATTAACTTAAATGCCTTCTGAGTTTGAAGTTAAGCATTTGGACAGTGCAAGCTGCATAGGTGTGTGTTCATATGCTTGCGTACTCCACCCGCCTGGCGTGCGTACTCTTACACACCCCATATGGTAAGAGTACGCAAGTGCAACGGTTCAGAAAATGTCAGTTTTAGACCACTTCCATTTACGCTGAAGGATCGTTGCCCCATGGTTGATGGCTAATTCAATGAACTTTAATATTCCCTATTTGCGATTTCTTTCCTTCAAATATTAAACAAATGAGAGCAAGAAATCCACTAAGTGCGTACTCTTATACGACTTCACCCTACATTGAGTCACGCGAGCACATTACTGTTTATTAATTACTTGCTATCGATTACGCATTTGCCATCGGATCTGTCGTATTTTTATCGAGAAAAAGAAAATGACCCGAAACACTAACCGATTTATCATTTACTGTGGTTGAAATAGGAAAAAGTCATGTCTAGACAAGCCGACTGCTACTCTCCTCCGGAAGGGACTTACAAGGGAGCTATAATTCTCACCCTTACAGGCACACTAATATGTGCACTCGGAGAGAAGAAATACCCCGACCTGTGCCCCCTGAATCTCCGGCCTCTCCCAACTCAGACTCAGACCTTTGCCCCCTGAATGACCTCTCCCATTTCGGACTCTGACCTGCGCCAGATGTTGGAAATGCGGTTTCTCCGGCAGTGCGACGCGTAACCGGGAGGCGAACACGGTGATCAAAGCAATCAATCCACAGACGTCCGTCACAAAGAAGGCTGGGCTGTAATTGGTCGGGCCTGAAATCAGAAAATAAATATAATACACAAGATGAAAATGTAAGACAGCTGCGGTTCAACGGTACTCCTAACTAAGTCAAAAGTGTCCCTTTAGCCGTTAAATACGAGTAATCCGAAGAAAGTATTACGTTGTCGGCAAGTGGTCAAAGCCGCGCGGCTATTCTCTTTGTCTTAGGTAATAAATGATGAACGCTCTCTAAATACGGATACGACGCATGTTCTCAGCAGGAGTCAGGACACCGTCTCTCACCGTCACCACTGAAGACGTCGATGAGCAGCCCGGCCAGCGGCGGCATGATGACGGTGGCCAGGATGGCGGTGACCCGCTGCCGGCCGAAGTTCTGGCCCGGCTCCTTGTGCCTCTTGACCAGCGCCAGGTTGGTGGCGTCCAGCAGCGTGAACGTCGGCTTCAGGAAGAAGGTGGCCGCCACTCGCAACCAGAAGTAGATCCAGAACGTGGTCCGGTTCGAGACGGGCAGCCCGCTGGCCGGCGCGCAGTCCAGCCAGCAGCTCGACGGGCAGCTGAACTCGCCGTGGTGCAGCTGCAGCTGCACGTCGCCGTCGACCAGCGACGCCGGCAGCTGGCAGCCGTCCGAGCCCAGCGGCAGCTGCAGCACGGCCGTGGGCGTGGCTTCGCGGCACGGGCCGTCGGCCGGGCAGAGCAGCAGGCCGGCGCCGCCCGTCGTGTCGGCCGCGTCACACACCAGGGTGCAGTGCAGCGTGCGCGTCAGGTTGCCGCAGGGCGGCGGCGGCCAGTCGGCACACTCCAGCCGGCTGCCGTTGCTCGAGGCGGCCAGCGCCTCCGGCGTGGTGTGAGGGCTAGCCGGGATGTAGAAGAGCATGTGGTGCAGCAGGCAGTGCACCACCAGACAGCCGATGTACAGCTCGCGGATCCGGCCGGTCCGGTCTGCCAGCAGGCCTGCCGCCGACCACCGACCGGGGCGGACCGTCAGCCGACTCGATAGAATTGAATTCAACGTTCATGCATTTGGGGCAACTATTGATGAACAGATTTATTAGGCAGGTGGAATAGCTGTTTGCATGAACAAGGCCCATGGTTCCACGGAATATATAACCTGACTGATTAAATTGGTGTACCGGATATGTCGTATTTTAATTAACTATGGATGTTGTATTGATTTCTCAATAGGGGTAACATACAAAGCAGCTTCCATGACATTGGTGCCCTACTTCAACAAAACCAGTATGCATAATGCATATTGCATATTGCATAGTACCAAGTACATAGGTACCCAGCTCGATGATCATGCATCATGCACGCATTGCAAACAGGTTTGTTCATAATCTTACCTATGACGATGGGTGCCACCAGAGAGGCTATAGGCATGAAGAGGTAGACCTGAGCGACGTCGGCCAGCGTCAGGCCAAGTGAGGTCATCTGCAGGGTCAGCAGCGGCAGGATCGTGTATGAGGCTATCGACAACCGCAGTCAAAAGTGACAGTCAGCATAGCAGCGGTAAGATCGTGTTGGTACTTGGTACAAGGCTGGTACAATCGCAGCGTCAATAGTGACCGCGCGGCAGTGGCCGCATCCTGTACGTGGCTGCCGGGAATTGCAGTTTCGCACCAAGTAGTGACCGTCGACTATCAAGTGCAACAGTCAGCGTAACATCAGTAGCATCAGTTTCACAGCCGGAGTCAGTGCAACGTTAGCAGCTTAAATCACAAAACGAGAATATACACCAAACAGTTTCTGAACAGCGCTTGATTAGTTTTTTACTTTTTGTACACGCCAGTAGGTATTTAACGACTCGGGGGCGCTCAGTGCCGAAGAAGAGTTGCAGTGCCGAATAAGGCGCGGACAGCATCTACGGCATTTTCCTGAACATTTCCCAATTGAGACCATGTGCAAAACAAGGAAACTTTGCAGACTCACCACAAAAATTCCAAAAGTACACCAGCTTGATAGGTAGAAAGTTTCGGTTGATGTGGTACCATCGCCTGTCGCCGATTTCCTCTATCGTCGCTTCTTCCATCTTCTTTTTGCTGGCGTCCTCGTTCATGTTTGAAAGTATTGACAGCTGGAATTGATTGAATAAATCAGGCTTCTGCATAGCAAAAGGCGTAACAGCAGATAAGAGTTGCGTGAATGAGCTGTGCAATTTCTACATTGACACTTTAATTTCTTAAATTTGCCTTTGACATATGGTCTTAAATTTTGCCTTTGCCGATCGTTATGGTGTAGCTGGGCTCAGGTAAAATGAGATTGACAATGGACGGTCCGTACTTAATACATCTAAATTTAAGCGTTTTAAAGTAGGTTCCTGTTTATCCTTAAACTTGTTGATGGTTTGCATTCTTATTTCAGTGCAATTATATTAACCCGCGCCCCATAGGGAGGGGGGGGGGCGAAAGGTGATCCTCTCCTTTCCGTCGATATCTCCTAAAGTATTGCAGATATCGTCCATAAACATTCAGGACCCCCAAGCATCAAGTTTACACCTTCTAGTAAAATGTTCATAAACACTAAGATATGCTGGCCACAAATGACGTCATGTTCTGGATTTTTGACAGAAAAAGGTTTGCAAAAAAAAACTTTCATGCCTAAGTTTTGAACATACAGAGAATCTATAAAGCCAAAAAGGTGTAGAATAAACAGGACTTCAAAAAATGTCATCTGTCATGTGTCATGTCATGTTGTATGCATGTTGTCATTGTCATGTCAAAAATGTCAAGTTTTTCATAACTTAAAAAAAGGAACATAAATTATATAACCTTAAGTCAACCATCGACATACCATATTTCAGATCCATACCATATTTCTCTTTTTTTTAGAGGAAACTTATGGGGGAAAAGCTATTCAAAATTGATTGCGTCACATTTTTGAGCTCGATCAATAGCCGTTCTAGACTAGGTAGCGCAAAACTACGACCCCCATTGGATTCTCCGTGACAATATGTACCTATCGAATCGATACCTTTGTATGAAAAATATAAATTTGTAATTCAACCTTCTTTGAACTAACCTTGACCTCACCTTCACCAGACCGTAACCTAAACTGGCCCGATTGGTCACCCCAAATAATTTGATTTGAAATGAAACGATGGCCATTAAACACGCATCACACAGCCCCAATGGGAATCATGCTGTGACCCTTAGTGATCTGACCGCTGTGACTTGACCTGGTATCCAAGTACCTACCTCATTTGTAAAATATGTACTAGCCAAACATTACTCTGTCAAAGATTTTCGATTGCATGCCTTTTACTCGATGTTATAAGTAACATACCTATTTCTTATAGAGGGCCTGTAAACAGTCTGAAATGCGGCCTTTGACCTGACTTAACGTCATCGGTTGCACCTCGGTCAATGAAATTTGGTCATAGCGTAATTCCCTGGTGGGGCTATTGAACGCCGTTTGAGTTTTAAAATTTGTTGGAAACTTCCCGAGATCTCAGGAGGGAAGAAACGCCCCCCCCCCCCCGCCCCCTTCAGATGGCAGGATCCGGCAATAGCCCTACGGAGCGCAGGTTAAAACACGATGTTCCCAAATAGCAATAACCCGCTTCCAACAACTTTTTGCACCATTTTTCAGTCCTTGTTGCACATGAATTGGAACCTCGTGCTGAAAGAAAATGTGCATCACTATCCTCTAATTCAATGGCACCATACTATGCCTGCATTGCCAGATGTGGTATGGATTCGGAATACAAGAATCACACAGGTGGACTTATACGGTTCCAAAAAAGGAAGCTGTTTACTGTTTACGCACATTGTTTTAACTGTATGTTCTATATATGATTGTTAACCTTCCAGGCGGTGGGGGGGGGCATTTTTTTGCCCCCCCCCCTTAGGTTTTTCGATATATCTCGAGAACCGCTGCGCCAATCGTCACCAAACTTTCAGTACCCTCCCGAGAGCAGCTAGCGCACATGGTGACCAAAATTTTTCCAAAGGCTATGATAGGTTGGTCGCTAATGACGTCAGAGTGACGTCATTTTTGCCATTTTCGACCCAAAAAAAGGTTCCGCAGGAAGAGCTGTCAGGCCTACAGCTTTAGAGATACAGAAAAATGTTTCAGACATAAAAGGTGTGGAATTAAAAGGGCTACAAAACTGCTATTTCGGTTTTTCGAATTCTTTGGATTTTGACCCCCAAAAAACAAAAAAATAGATTTTTTGAATATAATAGGCAAAAAATCCAAGAAGTTTTTTGAATTTCGAAACAAAACGGAATACATGTGATAGCCCCTACCGCCTACTATCTACATACCAAATTTGAGATCGATACCTCTTTTTTTTGCCAAGTTATAGCGAAAAAACTGTTCAAAATTGATGACGTCAAATTTTCAAACTCAATTTTTAGCAATTCTAGACCTCGTAGCGCAAAACAAAGACCATCATTAGACTCCCCGTGACAAGTTGCATGGAATCGATACCCATTTTATGCAAAAATATTAACTTTGAAATTTGACCTTTTTTGACCTGACCTTGACCTGACCTCCACCAGAAAGTGACCTAAACCGTACCTGATGGTCTTATAACCAACACCATTGAGTTGGAAATGAAAAACTGGCCATAAAACATGCATCGCATAACCTTAGTAAAGTTGGGCTCATGTGGTGACCCTTGGTGACCTGACCTGTGACCTGACCTGGTATGACCAGTGACCTCTAATAGCAACATATGTACTAGACAACTGACGCCTTATCGCTGATTTTCGACAATATGCGTTTTACTCGGTGTTATAGCGCTTTCCCTAGAAGCCCCGTGAACGGTGAAACATTTTATCTTTGACCTGACCTGTGACGTCATCGGTGACCCCGAGGTCAATGAAATTTGGTTTCCTTCGACAAATTTGACAGGGCTATCGAACGCCGTTTGAATTTTCCGGATCCGTCCAGTAGTTTCGGAGATACGGGGGGGGGCAAAAAAGTGCCCCCCCCCCCCACCGCGCGGAAGGTGGCTGGTAGGCCCACCGCCTGCCGGGTTAATGATCAGTCAGAATTTTATCCGCGGCTCGTCAGCAATTAATTATCATCAGTGATGAGGGCAAATAGCAGGGTGAAATTCGCCCGCAACGTGAGTACCTTAAAGGTAGTGTGCCAGCTTTCCTGGACCGTATGGAGTTAATGGCCCAGATAAGGAGAACCGGATTTTTAGAACTTATCCATACCTTCAAAACTCATGGAAACGTCTTAAATTCTTCAAATTTTGAGTACCCCAGTGCGAAATTCGCCCCGACGGGTTGTCGGTCGTACCCCAACCACATTTCACAACACTATGAACGATAAATGCACACACTGAAATCGCTTTTACCGATATGCTCATCCAATCAAGTTTCGATAAACCCGCTCATCATCATCTCCTGCGGTTTCGAACACGCCTGTTAGGTGGTGCGGTAGACCGCGCCCAAAGCCAGGGCCCCGGCAACGTGAGGTAGCCGAGTCGGGGCAGCGTGCGCTGACCCAAGCCGGGGCCGCGCGTCCTCCCGGTGTCATGTGATAGCCCGGGGCTGCCCGCGGGGATGCGGTAGACAGCGCCCAAAGCTGCGGCCCAAAGGCCCGAAGCCCCGGCTTGGGTCAGCGCACGCTGCCCCGACTCGGCTACCTCACGTTAGCGGGGCTGACCGGGGCCCTGGCTTTGGGCGCGGCTTCTGCTCATACTTCGTGGTGCGGTGGTGGTGCGTCGGGCCGCGCGCTCTGACTTCGGCCAAGAAAAATGCGTCAGCTGATCATTGTCATTTCTGCCACTTTCATGTGGTGAGATGGGGTCATAACTTAAGAGACGGCTGTTTCATATCAATTATTTTACATAAAATAATATTTCAAACCATAAATTAATGTTCGACAGCCAAATTAAAGAAACAATACCACTTACAGGCTTACAGTTTAAATTCGACATTGTGTTGTCTACGATTAGACAGCTGATAACTCATTCCCGTACGTCGTAACTCTATAATGACCTTTGCTTATTGTCACATGTGCGCCGCATTCGTGATTGTTGCCGACGCCTGTTTGCAGGTCAGCCCACTACAGTTGTTATGCATATCGAAAAACCGATAAACTTTTAGGCGAAAAAAACACTATTTTAGGCCCATTTTTGATTTTTTTTTGCGACATTAGGTAAAAACAGAAGCATCTTTTCCTAGGAAAAATAAAATGGGAAATCATTCGAAGGTGGCACACTACCTTTAAAATCGCATTCTTGCATCCAAATCAGCTTACATTTCTGAAAACAATGTTTTTTTCAGTACGCAGCAGCGTATATAGGAAAGAGAAATCCATGAGAAGACAGTGGGGCTACTTTTTTAGGTTGAGGTAGCCTAGTATATAGCCTTTTATACCTATAGCCTAGTATAAATACCTACAATATATTACTACAAAGCCATCCAAAAATGAACTGTCCTTAGCTTATGCTACCTATTGAAAAAAAAAAATGATTCTATTAATTGATATCAGTGTGCTCGCCCATTGCCCAGTGAGTGGTTAGAATCCACAAAAGTGCATACGCCGTAAACATGGCAAGGTAAGGCTTCCCGAGCTGTTAGCCATACGCATCAAGAGCTATGCATGCCTCCCGTGGAACACAGGCCGGGTGATCATTGCTGAAGGACATGACGTAGGGCATGTTCACCACGGCGCATCAGCGTAATTCTTCAAAGCGATGAATGGTAGACAGTGGCTTAGCCTTTTATGTGAAAACAAACAGATTAGGCTTATACGTTTATAATCCATTGCAAAGCTGCCTCTCGGGGACCAGGTGAATTTCAGATCTTGTCAGAAGACTCGCAGATGCTGTTATCTCAGGTGGCAGGCTCGAGACTGCTGCTCATGTCTCATGTTATCTCATGGCCCGCCGGCGGGCTGCGCTACGCCAGGGAGACGAGACGGCGTACCGCGAACTGAACCGCCAGGCGCGTGCGGCGATCCAGCGCGACTCGAGGGAGGACGTCAGACGCCGGATCTCTGAGGCGGGACGATCGGCCATGTTCCGTTGCGTGCGGGGCATTATAAGCGGAAAGTCCGCCGGCCACAAACTACCGGATGTGGCCCCTGACGCCTTGAATGCGTTTTTTACGG